CAGCCTGAGCTACATAACAACCTGGAGGCCAGCCTGAGCTACATAACGAGTGAGTTACTGTCAAAATAAAAACAAAACAAACCCAGAAGTGGAGTTTCTCATCTGGGATCTCTTAACAAGTGAACAGGATGGACACCAAATGGGCCTCCGGTGTGACACACGAGGACACAGCGTCCCTTCCATGATGTCCCTGCCCAGCATCCACACCCTGCATCTTACTGTGACCAGATGCTGGCAATCTCAGCGGAGGCACATCCCACAAGCCACACTGGCAGCATAAATGAAGAAGCAAAGCACATCCTTCAGATGCGAGGATGCGCAGGACACATGAGCCACATGCAGCTGCCCGCAGGCACTCTGCCATTCGTGGCACAGTGGTGTTAAATGTGCTGGGGCAGGGTGGGGAAGAGGAAGAGGAGCCACAGAATGGACTTGGACCCGGGCCCGGCTTTTCTGGCTACCACCTCCCTCTGACAGGGACAGGGAAAGGGACTTGCAAGATGGTTCCATCATATGCTTGGTGAAGTGTCTCCCTAGAACACACACACATGGGTAGCAGCCACTCACAGCAAAAAGACATTAGCACCTGTGTGTGACAGCTGTCACACTCTACCATGTGCTCAGGGCCACTCATGTTAGCCTTATTTCACCCATAACCACACAGGACCATAGGCAACAAGGCACTATTGTTGCTGCCTCTGGCTGGCATGGTGACAGATGCTCAGAGGGGTGCAGCTGCCTGACCAGTGTCCCACAGTGGGCACTGAGTGTAGCCCTGCAAAGTGGGGCATTTGAGTCTCAGCTCCCAACCAGGACCTGAGATAAGTCTTTCCAAGTATGTAAAGGTGACCTTCATGGCTCTGAAGCCCTCTTCTGACCCCTTGTTATGGTTCTAGAAACAGGTATGTAACCCATTTATAAAGGGACATAAAAGCTGAGGATTGGGATGAGGCTCAGAGGGAAAGGGCTGTGTGGCACACAGAGAGTCCTGGGTTCAATCTCCAGTACTGCAGACCTACCAACTAACCAGCCAACCAACTAACCAATCAGCCAACCCCACCACACAACCAACCAAATTACCAAACAACCCACAATTTAACAATCAACCAAACAATCAACAACTAATCAAACAACTAACTAATCAGCCAAGCCCACCACACAACCAACCAAACAAGTTACCAAACAATCAACCAGTCAATCAACTAACCAGTCATCTAAACCCACCAACCAATCAACCAATCAAGTTGCCAAGCAACCAGACAATCAATCAAACAAACAAATAACTAACCAACCAATCAACTAACCAATCAACCCAGCAACCAACAAAACAATCAGCCAAACCCACCAAACAACCAAATAGCCAAACAAGCAATCAACGACTTATCAAACAACTAATAAAATTATGCACAAACAAATAATCAAACAACAATCAACCCCCAAAGCAGGCTCATACCCTTCTCTTTTCTGACAGTGATGCCGCAAGTGGGAGTGGGGTGGGCCTTCCACACCTTTCTTCTTGTCTTGGGATCAGGTGACCAGTCCAGTGTCCTCTGATAAAGGGCAGAGAGTGAGAGTTGGGGCCTCCCGGACAGCACCGCCCCAGATTTCTGATGCTGTACATGTGTCTGCTGTGGTGAGCAGAGTCCTGTGCAATAGATCTCAGCATGGGTGCTTAGGAAGAGTGCTAGGTGGCAGGGTCCCTGGAGGAGAAACCACCCCTTCCAAGCATTGCAGGGCTTTTCCTGAGCTCATGCTTTGAAGAGGAGGCCAGGATGGGACTACAGTGCATCCTGTCCTAGGCTCCTGTGTTGGATTTCCAATCCTTGAAGGGGACGTGTGGGGATGTGCGGTCATGACATGACTTGTTCTTACAGAGATGAGGGAGATGTCAGGTGGACACACAGAGGCCCTGCCATGGAGGGCACAGCGAGAGGTTACAAACCATGGCTAGAGGCCTCCAGGATGTCAGCCCTACCCACTCCTTGATGCTGGATGTCTGCCCCCTTCTGTCATTAAAGCCACTCACCCAGTCTTCAGTCTTGTCACTGTAGCTCTCACTGACAGATCCTTGACAAAGGACCCAGTGGTTGGCATTTGCTCAAAGTGCAATCTTGAGGCTTATGGGAAACACAGCCTCTTGACTCCTATCCTTGCTTTGTGTTCCAGAGCCTACATTTTCTTAGGTCACTAGTCGCTTGATCACACTTTCCAGTGACGTCTCTGAGGTCCCCCACAATGCCACCTGGGTCTCTCCGGCTGCTTGGGACTTGGGGGAACAAGACAAATGAATTCACAAGTGACGGGTCTGGAAAAGACGTGCTACAGGCATGTGTTAGAAATCAAATCAGTTTTATTGAATCCATAGCAACAACCAGTGTGGCCCTATTCATGCAAAGCACAAAAACTTACAATAAACTTTTGTACATAGGAAGTTGTAAAATATATCATTTTTCATAGAAAAAAGCACACAGTAAACTGTGGGCCAAGAGAGCCTACAGATCACGGAGAGTCAGCACACCCCTTGGAACAGACCAGGCACAACTTGGAAGCAAATGGAAGCTATCACAGGACAGAGCGGGGAAGCAGCTGCCATGGGCGTGGTCACTTTAAACTTGGGAGAACTGATGGGCACATGGGGTCAGAAGTGCTCTGACATCAAGATCATTCATGGTTTCGTTTCCACCTTTTTTTTTTTTTCCTGAAGAAAGGGTCTTCCAGTTTCAAACTATGGGTGAGGATCGGCACACAAGACCCTAATGCAGACCCTCAAAGCAAGATTCCCCTGGAGATGGGATTGATCGCTTCTTCTAGAAACCCAGGAGGGGAGCAATTTTCTTTACCATCTCAACCTTGCCCCGCAGGCTGGGAGTTTCCCAGATGGTTGGTAGCCACCAGGAGTCCCCTCCAGAGGCTGAGCAGATGTGTGCTCTGACATCCGGGCCAGAAGAGTGGATGCCTGCAGAGATGCCACACTCACACAGGTGAGGTGGAAAAAGCCCAGGGAAAGCTAGCTTTATAAACTCCCTGGAAGAAATGAACTTGAGGAAAGCTATCTCAGCACTCTGAGTTAAGGCCAGCCTGGACTACATGATGAGTTAAGGCCAGCCTGGACTACGTAATAAAACTCTTGTCTCAAACCAATAAACCAACATTTAACCCAACTAGGTCCACGTGGCTCCCTGTGGGAGGAGCTTTGTTCAGACTTCCTTAGGTTTCTTAAAGAACTATTTGTACTTTTCTTCAGGTGTATGTTTGTGGGGATGATAGATCGCCTGGAGTTACAGGTGTGTGCGAAAAGCTTGTGAGAGGCGGGAACTGAACTCAGGTCTTCTGGAAGCCACAAGAGTCATCAGCCACCAAACCAACTCTCCCGTTTGTACCTTGAGGGCAGCGTTTTATTTTATTTTCTGTTTTTCCTTTTTTTCTTTTCCTTTTTCTTTTTTCTTTTTTTTTTTTCTTTTTGCCTAGGAAATAGTTGGCTGGACCACGAAACTCCATTTGAAGCCGGCACTCACGGGCAATCTGCAACATCCTCAGGACTGGGGTGGGATTTCACCTTCGCTAGAGTAAGCTGTTTACAAAAGCATGTTTCATTTTACAGTGGGTTTGGGCCAGGCTCCTAAGTGATGGAAGCCAGGGCTCACCACACTCTTGGAGCTGTGGGGATGCTGGCAGGAGCTAAGTTCCACCAATAAGAACAGGAGTCCTTCCTGTGTGTCCCAGCCCCTCTCCCTGGTGGCTGGCGTGTCATGGGCGGTTTTACAACCACAAGCCACTCCATTAACCTCCATGAGGAATGTTCCAGGAATCCATTCCTCCCACAGCTAAAAAACTAGGTCACCCAAACTAAGGGGAAGGTGACATTGAGTTGTCACTCAAACAGCAACAGGGAGACAGCTCTTGTTCTAAGGAGTGAGGAGACATCTAAGACCTGGAGCCTTGTGCAAAGCCAAGTCCCAGGGGAGGACACCTAGACCAGCCTGGGGTGGGGCAAAAGCCACAGGGTGATGGGATGGGGAGACAGGGAAGGCTCTTGATGCATCGGTCCTCCATGAGACCAAAGGTCATGTGAAAACAGGCCACACGGACAAGGACAAAGACAAGATAAATCTCTGGAGTACTGCCGACTTTAAATAGACCAGCTCTGCTGGATACATAAGCACGTGACTGCCAAGAGGGTTGGGGACACAAGCAAAGGACACCACCAGGGCAGAGCCCAAGTCTTGCCCCGGGCCTCTCTTGCAGCCCATCTGTCTGACCAGCAAACATAGAACCTATTTCTCTGTTGGTAGGATATACCGTGACTTTAGGGCTGTCGTCTCTACCCAGACAAGAGTCCCACTCGTGACACACCTCAAACCTGTATCCTCAAGGGTTCGAACGCCTCCCCCCTCCCCCCACCAAAGCAAACATGGCAAGGAGTGCCTCAGTGAAAGGACATGAGCAACCAGATGGGGACCGCAGTCTGGCCAGTCTGGGCATTGGTTGTCCACCCGAGACTCCATGACAAGCTGTTCACAAACTGACGCCGCCATGTTACCCTTGCCAAAGGCCACAAAGGGATAGGGCGTTCGATGACACAGAAAGAAAGATTCCTGACTCTCTGTAGGGGGGGGGGGGGGGGGGGGGGGGGGGGGGGCAGATAGAAAGCAGGACCCCAAACCCGGTAGATGACGGCCCCTTCTCCCCAGGTCTCCACATTCTTCACTGCCTGACAGCGAAGATCCGGAAGGCGTTTCCACTCTGAGGAGCACTCAGGCTGCAAGGGAAGAGAGAGTAGGAGGTTACAAGAGCTGTGGGCAGGGGGATGGCTGATAGGGCCAGCGTGGTGAGGACAGAGCCCACAGAAGTCACACCCAGCTGGACAAGCCCACTCGTACTAACAGGGAGCTGCAGTGTGAGTCCAGGCTGAGGCTTCAAAGTGACATCCTGACTCAAGGGTTTCTGGGCCCCCGGGCCCTGGATCTGAGCTCCGCCTCTGCCATCCCCCCCCAAACCCCACACATGGGTTTTGCTGACATCTATCTCAGACATCTGGCTGACAGATGATTTAAAGGAGGGCACGAGGGGAACACACACTGAATGCAACGCGAATCTGTTATCCTGGGTCCAATATCCTTTCCAAAACAGGGCTATCGTTACGGTCTGTACGTGCCGGTGAGACACATAGACAGCAAGGAATCAAGAGCCCAGCCAGAGTCCACAGTTAATCAAACTCATGCCCTTCTAATGGGAGTCAAGTTCTTCAGGGACAGGATCTTATGCGGCCTAGACTGATATCAAACTTATTACATAGATGAGGACGACCCTAAACTCTTGATCCTGATGCCTCCGCCTCCCAAGTGCTACCGTGCCCAGTTTATGCAGTGCTGGGGATTGAACCCAGGGCTTTGTGTATGCCAGGCAAGCACTCTGCTGTTGGGCTACAACGCACTGTGAAATTCAGTCATGTCCTCTGACCTCTATGCCAGACTGTGGTATGTATCTACACGAGATGAATAAACATTCACAAAGATGCCCCTCCCCCCACCCGGTCTTCCCTCTTTCCTTGTCACTCTGCCTCTGTGGATTTGCCTGTTCTGGGTGATAAACGCCTTCTGCCCACGGAGTCACACACTTGGGAGGTAGATTTCTGTTCAACTCCATTCACCTTTGAACAACGTCAAAACCAGCTTCTTCTAAAGTGGCCACATTGTATCCCATGCCCATCCACAGGGCACTGAGTGTTTTGGAGGCCCCAGAGCCCCCACTGACATTGAGGTCGTGTTTGGCCGGCCGTCTTACAGGTGTTCCAGGGACGGTGGCCTGAATCTGCATCTCACTAGTGTTCCAGGTGCTGAGTTGCTCCCCATGGCGCAGCAGCTGTCCCTGGAAGGAACGAATGTGGCCAGGCAGATGGATCGCAGAGCGCTAGCAATTCTTTCTAACGTGGTGGTGGGAATGGAACCTGAGGCCTGGTGCACGTTAGGCGAGAACTTTACCACAGAATGGCAGCAAGAGTTGCAGCCCCGCGCTCCGTCTTCCAAGTCAACCAGGTTATCTCAATCTTGAGTTTATACACAGGTGTGCTCACATGCAGGCACACGCATGCTCACACACACAGCATGCCCACTTGTGGTGTGAAATTCTTTAGTACATATACAATTTGCAAAATTGCTCTCTCGTTCTGTAGCTAGCCTTCCTGCCTACCCCTCTCCCTTCCAAACCCTCACCCTTCCTCGCCTCCCCTCCCTTGAGGGGAAAATTTGTCTTCTTGCAGTTCTAGGGCCCAGTCACAAGGCCCTCCTGGGAGGCCACACTCTTTGGCAGCAGACAGCTGGGATGTTTTGTTTGTTTTCTGAGACAGGGTTTCTCTGTGTCAGGATAGCCCTGGCTACCCTAGAACTCTCTCTGTAGACCAGGATAGTTTACAACTCCGAGGCCCCCAGTCTCTGCCTCCAGAGAGCTGAGATGAAAGGTGGGCACCGCCACACCCAGCTCCTAGCCAGGCGTCTTGCTGACTGGCTGTCACACAGCTTACTCTCTCTCAGTACATATACATTTGGTGTCTGGTTTTCTTTCTTCTTTTAAGACTTTCTTATTTTTATTTTATGTGTGTTCCTGAGTATTTATATGTGTACCACGTGCCTGCAGTGCCTGGGCAGGACAGAAGAGAGTCAGAATCTCTGAAACTGGAGTTACAGGCAGCTGTGAGCCTCTCAGTTTGGGTGCTGAGAGCCAAACCCAGTCTTCTGCAAGAGTCGTGAGTGCTCTTAACCACCGAGCCATCTCTCCATCCCCCTTTTCTTCATTTTCTTAATGGTGTCTTTAAAAAAAACGAAAGTTGGGCTGGAGAGATGGCTCAGCGGTTAAGAGCATTGCCTGCTCTTCCAAAGGTCCTGAGTTCAATTCCCAGCAACCACATGGTGGCTCACAACCATCTGAAATGAGATCTGATGCCCTCTTCTGGCCTGCAGGCAGACACACAGACAGAATATTGTATACATAATAAATAAATAAATATTTTTTTAAAAAAAACAAAAGTTGCTGGGCAGTGGTGGCACATGACTTTAATCCCAGCACTCAGGAGGCAGAGGCAGGCGGATCTCTGTGAGTTCAAGGCCAGCCTGGTCTACAGAGAAACTCTGTCTTGAAAAACCAACAAAAAAATAAACAAAGCAAAAACCCAAAAGTTTAAAATTACCCAATGCATCAATTTTTCACACCTACACTTTCGGTGCTATGCTTGAGAGAGCAATACCTAGCTCATGATCACACAAGCCTAAGTTCATCTGGTCTAAGAGCTTTGTAAGTTTTAGGCTTTCCATTCATTTGAGTCTGTCTTTATACATGGTAGGAGGCCTGGCCCAATTTCACAATTTTGCCTGTCAATTTTCAGCTAGGGAGGCCTCTTACACCAAAATGGAAAATAAAGGCCAGTGAGGTGATTCAGTGGGTAAAAGTCCTGGCGGCCAAGGGCGCACACACACACACACACACACACACACACACACACACACACACACACACAGAGGGAGAGAGAGAGAGAGAGAGAGAGAGAGAGAGATCTGAATCTTGCTTTCTCCACTTAACAGAAACAGAACTCGGGTTTTTATTTTTGTTTTTGTTTTTGTAGCTGGGTTGTGGCTGGGTAGCCCGGGTTGGCCTCAAACTTGTGACAATCCTCCTACCTCAGGCTCCTGTGTACTGGGATTACAAGCACGGGCCATACCTTACCTTGCTAGAACGTCTTTATTCTGTTTTCTCAGCGGCAGAGTACTCCGATAGGTTGAAGTTATTTTTTTTATCTGGGACTCCACAGGTGGAGATTGAGCTCTCCCTAGTCTTTTCACGGCAGTCAAGGCTGTCACTGTCACACACCCACTTCTAAGTCCTGAAGCCCTGGGAATGGAATTGCTGGATCAAAGTCCAGATGTCAGCCGAATGGGGTGGTGCATGCCTATAACCTAGCACTTGGGAGGCCGAGGCAGAAGGATCATGCATTCCAGGCTAGCCTGGGCTACAGAGCAAGACTCTGTCTCCAAGAGGTAAAGAGGGCACTAGTACTGGGGTCATGGCCATACAGCAAGTGGCAGAATGCTTACTTAGCATGTACAAGGCTCTGGGTTCCATCCTCAGCACCACAAATAATAGTAATTTGTGATGATAATAATAATAAAAACATGGGTGCATCGGAGATCTTGATAGCTGCCAAAATGTTTCTCGTTGACATCGCACTAATTGATACCTCCTGGGGGAGGCGTGCAGGGTGGCCGGTTAACCCTCGAGGTCCCGTTCTCAGTGGCGAAGTGTCCACGGTTGCAGCATACATACTGCAGCCTATGAAAATGCCTGAGCCCGATCTAAACAACCCGTCCGTGATTTATCAATGCTATTTCCTGTAGGGTCTCCGCCCGGGAGCAGGAGATCCCAGATTGCACCAAACCCCTACACCTGACAGCTGGCCAGGCCCTGGGCGGCCCAGGGAGCTCCAGTCCTGCGGGAACAGCTGCTTGGAATTCCTGCTTGTTTTTCTGCCTTCCCCGTGGCAGCCTCGTGCTCTTGGCTACCCCAGGGTTGAACCCTGAAAAAAACGTATCCGATAGGCATGCTCAAAGAGACCAGGACACGGTGGGATGCTCCCAGAGGTTGCCAAGGCCAAGTAGGGATAGATGGACGGATACCCAGAACCAGGCTTACCCAGCAGCTGGACTGTTTTCTGGAAAGTGCCTTCTGCTCCTTGGTTGAAGGGCTCCCAGGGCTCTGTTCACTGAGTAGCAGCTAAGAACCACCCACTGCCACGTGCTCCCTGCCTGCCCCACGTGTGAACAAGCCACGTGGGGGAAAGAACAAGGGAGCTGGAAAGGGTTCTGGTAGGATGCTGGGTGTTGGTATGCACAACCCTGTCAAGAGAGCCCCGAGGCTGCCAACCAGGTGGGAGGCTCCACCCTGGAGCACCCAACATCTTGCCTGGAACTAAAGAAGCAAGCACTCAGAGTACTCTGCCCACCTTGCAGCAGGGAGCCCGAGAGAGGGGTCCATGTGAATGCTGCCCCTCTGCTCTTTTCCTGAAGCCATGACACTTATTAAATAGGTCAGTCGCCCACCCGCTGTGTGTCTGAGGAAGGTGTATAGGCTGTGGTAAATCATAAAGTAGTCTTTCCCAGCCTGCTTTTCCCAATCCTGGCCCTCAGATGCTCTTTATGGGTCAACTCTTGACCCCCACATATGTCTGAGAACAGTATAGTTAAAGCACTTCCAGGCTGTTTCTATGAAATTGGGGTGGGGGGAGTTTAGGGGTGTGTATGAACCAGAAGTTGACGTCAGGTGTCCCCCTCAATTTTTCTCTACCTTTTTTTTTTAAATTTTGTTTGGTTTTTTTGTTTTTTCAAAACAGGGTTTCTCTGTTTCTCTGTGTAGCTCTGGCTGTCCTGGAACTTGCTCTGTAGACCAGACTGGCCTCACACTCAGAGATCTGCCTGCTTCTGCCTCCTGAGTGCTGGGATGAAAGGTGTGGGCCACAACACCCAGCTCTACCTTAATTTGGGGGGCAGGGTCTGTCACTGAAGCTGGAATTTGCCCTGTAGGTTAGGCAAGGTGTCCAGCGAGCCTCCGGGATTCGTCTGACTCCACCTTCTTTATAACATGCACCACCACGCCCAGCTCTATGTGAGTGCGGGGGATCTGAACTTGGGTCCTCATGCTTGTATGTTTTACCTACCCAGCCATCTCCTTGGTCCTTGGGATAACTGGATTTCATAAAAATCAAAGATAGCCAGG